AGCGTTTAGTTTTTAAAAGTGTCGGTCCTCTAACTGAACAAGGCTAAATGATTTTTGTTACTATAAAAAAATCTAAACGACGGTGGGGGGCGGTGCCGCGGTAGGCAAATGACGTTAACCGGTGTTCGCAGCAAGCCTAGTCTTCACTGCATCAAAATATATTATTTTTGATTGTGGTTGTGTTGTTACTGTGGGCTATAAAATTCAGATGCTCTGACCTGCTGTGTGTGTGTGTGTGTGTGTGTGTGCACATGCAAGTGACCAGGCCATGCAGAGAAATGCATTCTGCATAATAATGACACAAGCACAATAATGTATGTGTGTGAGAAAGAGCTGCACACTTCTGAGCCAATGACCGCTAATGTCCCCAAGTGCTGCAGGACAAGGTCCAGGAGACGATTGAATCTCTGCGACTGGCTGGGATCAAGGTGTGGGTGTTGACCGGTGACAAGCATGAGACGGCGGTTAGCGTGAGCCTCTCTTGTGGTCACTTCCATCGCACCATGAACATCCTGGAGCTCGTGCAGCAGAAATCAGACAGGGAGTGTGCCGAGCAGCTCCGCAGACTAGCCCGCAGGTACAACACCTTAGCGCACCCTTTCTGTGAGGTTTCAAGCCCTGTTTATACTCTCTTTCATTCAGAGTGGCATTTCACACAAGCATGATGTGACAGTGGTTTTCTCCTTCCGTGTTGAATGGAAATATCAGACTAAATATGTAGGACTGATTGTTTGAGATGGGTGTGATGTGTGCCTGTGTTTGTGCAGGATCAAAGAGGATCATGTGATCCAGCATGGGCTGGTCGTGGACGGGGCCAGCCTTTCCCTGGCTCTGCGGGAACATGAGAAACTCTTCATGGAGGTGTGTAAGAACTGCTCGGCGGTGCTCTGCTGCAGAATGGCACCTCTCCAGAAAGCCAAGGTGAGTCACCTAACCCTTTCTTATGTCCGTTTGTTGACGTTTCACTCTATCCTCACGAGGCCAGAGGTCACACACACTAATATGGCCGGTCCCTGCTAAATCGCCCCACACTGGCCTGTTGTTTTCACACTGTTTTCCTGTTTGGCACTGTATAAATACAGGTGACTTGACTTGTTCTCAAAGCGCTGGTGTTAACGGCTGCGGTGTGTTTGGCAGGTGGTGAGACTGTTGAAGACTTCTCCTGAGAAGCCTATTACATTAGCCATCGGAGATGGAGCCAACGACGTCAGTATGATCCAAGAGGCTCACGTTGGTATTGGTAGGTGCCGAACAGGAGAAGATGTGGCGTGCAATTCAAATGTACGTGGACACATTCACATTTTTGCTGTTGCTTACTTTTAGAAATCAGCAGAAGTCGGTTAAGTCTGGAGGCTTCAGTTTGACCTTTGACACTGTGCGTGATCGGAGTCCCGTTTCATTTTTAGTGTGGATGTTTAACATGCTCTCTTGTGCTTTGCAGACCCTTTATGACAGCGTGTATCTGACGCTGTATAATATCTGCTTCACCTCTCTGCCCATACTGGTATACAGTCTGTTTGAGCAGCTGGTGCATCCACATGTTCTGCAGAGCAAACCAGCACTTTACAGGTACAGCATCAGGAGAAGAGCTCAAGCGCAGAGCTTCCCAACCCTGATCCTAGAGACCCCTCAACAGTACAGTACACACTGCCGATCTCTACTGGGGCTGGCAACAGGACTGACAAATTTGTTTGTTTGTTTTTTTCACTGAAAGATTTGCAAAACTCATATTTATTTATTTAGGGGAAAATAATAGTGAAAACCAGATTTTTAAATCAGTAGTCCACAAAACAGCAAAAATAGTTTTTGTAGATTAGATTGATATAGATTGGCTGTTGTAAATTACACTACAAACATACACCTTTGTTTACTTCTGTGTGTTGCTCGGCAACCACTTTGTTGGAACCACAACTGTTTCTGAGGAACTACATTGTTTGGTGGAAGAATACTGTTTTTATTAATATCATTACACTTTATTTGCTCTGTTTTATTCTGTGAAACCTTACTACGTATATGGAATAACCGTTTTATAAAAGCAATAAACCCCGTGAAGCCGTGGTTTACAGTGAATTTATAACAGCTAAGGGGCGTTGTTACGACACAAAGCCGAGTGCCTAAGCGCCCCTTAGCTGTTATAAATTCACTGTAAACCATGGCTTCACGGGGCTTATTGCTTTAATACATATTTAAAAACAAACTAAAATTAATAAAAATGACAAAAATACACAACAAAATTACTAAAATTGTACAATTTAAATGAAAACAAAAAATATATAAAAAAGGTCTAATACTAAATATTAAGAAAATACTATAATAGTATATCAGTGATGCTAAAATTACACTGTTTAGTACTTCAACTTATTTTATTTCAGTTAGTTCTCATTTTTTAGCTTTATTTCAATTATTTACAGTTATTTTTAATAGTTTAAGTTAACCGTTACAAAAAAAAAAGTACCTGCACCTTTTCTTTGTTTCCAAAGTAAATGGGGTCAGTTTTAATTTAATGTTGGCTGTAATGGGAATATGAGCCTGTTTTGTTGTTTTATTTTCCCCACAAATCAGGATAAAATGATGTTCTTTCCCTTCATCAGAGACATCAGTAAAAACTCCCTGCTGTCCTTCAAAACCTTCTTGTACTGGACCTTCCTGGGCTTCTGCCACGCCTTCGTCTTCTTCTTCGGCTCCTACATCCTGATGGGAGAAGACACCACACTGATGGGAAACGGACAGGTCAGCGTCTCTCCGCCGTCACCTCCTCCTTCTCTCCTCTTCTCTCATTCATGCTCATGTGTGTCTGTGGCAGGACTGTTATTGTGCTAGCATGAAAGTTGTCTTTGATATCCTCCACAAAGCAGCATTCTGTATAGATCTCAGAGATGCTCTCTGAATGATTCAGCTAGAAGCGCTTAAGGTAATGAATGCACTTAGTGAGACGTTAACAATGTTAGTGACTATTGATTAACTCCAGCTTACAGACACAAAGCATCAATCGTCCAACTAATTACACCGTTATCTGGCACATTTGTACCGTACTGTTGGCTTTTACTAATCCATATTCTCTCTCTTTTTCTGCTTCTCTCTTTCTCTTTCTTGCCGTGCATGCTTTCAGATTTTGCGAGCTAACAGGCAACTGGTAAGAGTTGACTGGATTCCAGTTGATGCATGTGTCCTCTCTAATGAGCAGCTGTCTCTCTGGTTTGGTTTCGCTGCTCGCTGTACGAGCGGCTCTGATCTCTATTCTTTTGATACTCTGCCATCCTCAATTATGGGGCAGAGTTATGACAAGATTCGGAAGTGCTCCTTCACTCGCACTTTGCATGACGATAGGGCTGGACGATATGGCCAAAATTGATATCACGATATATTAGTGCTCATGTTTATTCAACGAAGTCAAACGGCACAAATAAATCAATGTATGGGAAACTGGTAATGTATATTGAAATATCGGAAATGTGTTTAAAAATCATATCACCGTTATTGAAAAAAATTATTTCGCGATACATATTGATATTGAATTATTGTCCAGCCCTACATGACGACAAGCCGGAATCTCTCTTGATATACTTATTTTGGGGTGAATTGAACCCCCCCCCATATGACATGTTAACAACCACGATGGGCTAATTTAATAATCTTGTCATACAGTCTTTAAAATGTGTGTTTCTTTCTTGCAGATGTTTGGAAACTGGACGTTTGGCACTTTAGTATTCACTGTGATGGTTATTACGGTCACGCTGAAGGTGAGTTCATACGTAAATGCAACATATACGTGGGTTTTTAAATGACACGTGAGCTTCATTTGCACCGTTCTCTCCACAGCTGGCCTTAGAGACTCATTTCTGGACGTGGATGAACCACTTTGTCACATGGGGCTCCATCGCCTTCTACTTCATCTTCTCCTTGTTTTATGGCGGCATCATCTGGTACTGTATTGCCTGCGTTTTCCCATAATGCCTTCAGAAAAGCAAGCATAACATTTTGTATTGCCGTTCGTTTGTACGTTTTTTTACAAATTAATTTGAACTTTGACTGAACTTTAAAGAAATCATGCTTTCCCACCTCATATCCATCGGCATTATGGGTCTGTTTTAGAGGAATGTGTCTTTCACAATATTCAGTTTAGTGGTCAACAAATATGAGTTTTTCAAGTTTTCAAAATTGATATACTTAGATTATAATTTATAACAAAATATATAATAATATAAGGTAACACTTTATTTTAAGGTGTGCTTGTTACACGTTATATGTACTTACTATTATAATAAAATCCTGACACTAACCATATAGTAAGTGCATGTAGTTAGTTAAATGCATAATTACACTGTAACAAGGACACCTTAAATAAAGTGTAACCCAATATAATATAATAATCCTTCCCTCTAATTTGCAAATAAATAAAGCAAACATATGTCAAGTGGTAGTGTACACACAAATCCCTTCAATATTCAGCGTTTTTTAATGTATTTATTTTAGATGGTGTAATTTACATTGTAAATTGTGAACAAGCATTTTTCACTGAATAGAATCAATGATCTAGTGGCCAGAACAGGTATTGTTCTACAGATGTATATGTGTTTGTTTCATTTTAAAAATGTGAGACGCAGCACAGTGGCTTGGGAAAAGAGCGCAGGGTCTTGAGATGCATTTTTTATTTTTTATTTTAAGTTGAACTACCTGTAACTTGACACACTTTTTAAAAAACATGCCATTAATGCATGAGATTTTGACGTTTTTGTAGTCATACTCTAAAATCTTGCATCTGCTGGAAGTGAGGGTTTTTTTTTTTTCTTCAAATCCTTGTCCAGTAATCAACAATGACTTGAGTCACTGATTAAAAGGAGTGTGATAAATTGTCAACATGCTTGTTTTTGTCTGTCCTGTGTGAGAAAGTGGAAGTCGAGAACAATGTCTAAATTGGTAATTTTCCTTTCTAAATAGTTTTTATTGAATTGTTGATTTGCAGGTGATAACCGTTCGCTCTTTGGCGACATACTCTGGAATACAGTCGAAATGCTGTGCTCAGTATTTGGCTCTGAAACAGTTGCCCGATTGCTCATTAGTTGCATATTGGACAGCATTATCAAACGCTTGTTGGAGTCTAATTGAAGTTTTCCTCTCTGCTAGGCCATTTCTTCACACACAGGACATGTACTTCGTCTTTGTTCAGCTGCTGTCGAGCGGCTCGGCCTGGTTTGCCATCATCATCATCATCATCACCTGCCTGTTTCCAGATGTCATCAAGAAAGTCTTCTACAGGCACCTGCAGCCCACCAGCACGCAGAAATCTCAGGTGAGCGTCAGACTTCCACCACAAACGCTCGAGCTCTGATTGAGATGGAGTGAGAGTGTGTGTGTCACATGTGCAATTGTTCTAGATTTATGCTTTCAAAGATGACACAGATGAAGTAACACAGCATGTGGCTCACGTCACCGCATGACTTCTCACCAGCAGCTCACCTTCACTTAAACTCACTGCATCACTACAGCACCAGCATTCATCGCACTATTAAAAATCCTCTGCAGCGGGCACTTATTATGTCTGGACTCACAATGCGATGCATGGTTGAATTATCCGAATAAACAATGGCAGGTTGTAGCGTCATGCTTGCTTGCTTATTCTAGAGGTTGCTTCCTGTAAATAGGTATTTGTGTGAACATTTTGAAAAAAGTCTTGAAAGTTTGAACCGATCATCTGATCATAGGGATGTGGATATATTTGCACCAGCTCTACAATTCAGCACTCAATGCATTCATGCTTTTACTCGTGGCTAACCTCAGCGGACTGATCGAAAGAAATTAACCTTAAAAGATTTCCACAATAGAAGCCGCAGCCCCAAAGCACACCCGCCTATCATCATGAACCAATGGCGGCTTGATGGTGTTTAAAATGCCATTTTGGCGATTCATTTACACGGCAACGGCGTTTTACAGGCCTGAAAATGCAAACTTTTGAAAACTGGTTTCAAAGTGCACATTTTCTGAAAATGATACCGTTATCATCTGTGTAAACTACCAAAAAGAAAAAAATAATAATAATAACATGAATTTGTGAAAACGTTGACGTGCGTTTCACATGTTCGGTGTATAAGTATGTGCACAGGTGTGAAGTGTTTATGTAAAAAGTGCCATTGCCATCTACTGGCCTGGCATGAATAATACAGGATTTTTAGTCGTTTTTGCGTATCCGTGTGAAACGGTTGTCGTCTGTGCACAAAACTTTTCAAAAATGCAAAGAAAAAACTTCCCCTTTTAGTGCATCGTTGTCGTGTAAACGTACCCTTTGTTTGAGATTGTTACACCCGTTCGTTCTTCCATTCTGCTTGAAGTATATCAGGCACTTAAAGCCATAAACTCTGATTATGCGCCGGCTTTTCTGTTGATATGCGAAAAATCAAACACCAAAAGCTAAGTTGAAGTTTTAAAATAGTTTCATTTTTGTAATGATACTATGGCTACAAGTGAAACTGTAAGTTCATAATTTGGAGTGTGGGTGGTTTATAGTTTGTAGTTCCTTTTAGGTTATTGTCTTGCATAGGACTGAGTACCACTGGTGATTGTATGCCAAAACCTTTTTTTTTTTTTTCCGCAAATGAAAAGTTGAGTGAAATGCTAAGCTTTGTCGATTAAAAGAAATCAAACAGTTAGCAAACAAATGTTACCTTGCCAGCATGGAAATATTTGGTTTTGTGCCAAATGAGAGACTATATATGAATATAATTAAGCCAAATATCAAATTTGTATTCTCCAATTTTTCACTTTTTTTTTTTTTTATTGGCCATTTTTACCTTTTTTCAGATAGGACAGTTCAAAGGGTGACAAAAACGAGAGGACCATGAGCTGGGATTTGAACATAAAGCTGTCAGCTCCAACCTCTTTCATCACAACGCACTGGATAGCTGGCCAATCAGAGCACACCTCGCTTTTCAGACCGATGAGCTTAGTAAAAATCAACGCGTTTCAGAAAGGTGGGGTATAGAGGAGTGTGACAAGTGGGGGCGGGGCCCACCGGTCTCGAGTCCCACGGAGGAGCTCCGGAAGGATAAAAGGAGGAGTTACGACAGTGAAAGAGGAGAGAGGACCAGGCCTGCTCTCGGCCCCGCCCCCACTCGTCACAAGGAGAAACAATAATGTACAGTATGTGGAAAATAATGTGTTTTTTGAACCTTAAACCGTATAAACACATTTCATTACACCAAATACACAAAATAATGTTCTTTTTAGCAACGTCATATGACCCCTTTAACTCGCGTCTAACCCTTCACAGGAGAATTAAAACGCTTATTTTCTTCCTTTCGTACTATTTCAATCCTTATATTCACATCTTTTTCTACTTTCCTAAGCGAGCGGTAACTGAAGTTGCTGCAGTACGGTTCTGTGGCGTCAGCACACGCTGCCCTGCGGATGACACCCGATAGTTTCGAAGTGCACTCTCTCTGCGTCTGCTGCTTGTTTCCTGTTTCCTGTCTCTGTCCTTTCTGAATGTGTGCTGAGTGGATTGTGGTGTACAGTGTGTGTGTGTGAGTGTGTATAACTGCACATGTGACTTTTCCTCCTCTTTACTGACCCTCTGTGTGTTCTGTAGATGTACACCAACCACGTGGCTATAGGTGATGACTTCATCGCACTTCAGCCTCTGTCCAGAGCCAAGAATCAGCTGGGCAAGATTAGGTAGAGTAGGAGAGACACTCTCACACTGCATGTGGAGGAAGAACTAACAGAGGGGAAGGAGCGGAATAAACACCTGACGTGCTTTAACAGTTCACGCTGCATGCGTAACCCGTACCTGCAAGTGCATGATTGTGGAGGTCAGATTTAAAGCAGACGTGGCCGTGTTTGGAGAGCATCCTCTTACAGCATGAGCTTGAGCTTACAGCCCCATTAATAGATGCTTTTTGTACACTAGTGTTGGGAAGCTTTTTAATTAGTTTTTTTTTTTCTCTGAAAAATGTTTATCCGGACTGCATGTTCCCAAAACAGTTGTTTTTTAGTCTCTACCAACGAGCAGAGAAAATGATCTCCAGTCCAGCTCCAGCGAGACATCAGTAAAAAGGCTTACTTAAAATCTGAATTTGACTTTTTGACTGCAAAAATGTCTAAAAAAAAAAAAAGTTCTATGATGTTGGCTTCCAAACGTTCCAAAACCTAGTGACCTGTCTTCCTGTCTACTTCCTGTTCTACCTTCTAAGGCAGTATCCAAACGGAAATATTGTTATTTTAGAGTTATTTAGCCAACTGTTGGCCTCCATGTGTTTGTTTTACAGCCACAAGCTGCCAAAATGTTGGTATTATGTCAACCATAGTGAGTTAAAGAAAGACTCCTGTATTTAGTAGAGATTTCTGTTTTATTTAGAAATGCGATTGTCACTCTTTTGCGATGAGGACTCATGTTTGTGACTTTTTGTCTTATTCGGTTAGGTTTCTTTAAAGCATTTAAAGATTTTAAGGTGTTTTTTCACACTAGAGCTCTTATTGAAAACCCAAGTTTGTGACCTTTGTTTTGGCAGAAATTCGTAATTTGGAAACAAAGCAAAACCAAAGATCCGAAATGGACGAGGCACTCATTCTGGTGGTGTCTACTCAACCATTTTTGTATAACACTAAATTTAAATGTTATGAAATCATTCATAAAAAAAATAGGCTGTTTGGAAAGATGTTCTTTAGGGTTAGTTTGAATAGCTTTGGATGTTTATTTTGTCGTCATTATTCCCATATCTTTCACTGTATTTTTTCGCTTTCGTTTCGACTTGTGACATCACATTAAATATACGAAGCACAAACAAATATTGGTTAAAATAGTGCATTATAATTATAGTCGGATCTAATAATATATATATATATATATATAATAACTAAACGTTTCTTGGAGGAATTAGCTTGCTCTGCGAACGTTTCTTCACCTTTTGGAGCAGACTTCACATCAGCAAGTCCACGATGCTTTAAAATGCTGTCTATGTAGGCAGCTCACTAGGTTTTGGAACAGAGCCTTCGAATTCAGAAGTGTTTTCTCACAGTGGACGTGGGGCTGTTACATGCTCGTTCACCTTTCTTCTGTTTTCATCCGTTTGGGAGACTTACCGCGCTGTTTTGTTCTTCCAGATGGAAGCGGATAAGGTTTCAGTCAGCTCAGAATATGACACTGCTGAAATCGGGAGCAGAGGGGAGGACAATCGGCCACTGATCGCTGCTTTTCCTCCACCTCTGGTGCAGCCCCACCCCTCCCCTAGGTAGTACTCTTCCCCCATCAGGCTGTGTACAGTATGTGACCGCCACGACCCACTCATCCTGTCATGTGACACTAGCTCTCCCCGTGATGTAACCAGGAGCGAGTGGCATGAGTCTCTTAGATCTTTGTCCGTTACATGACCATCCATTCGCTGGAGACTCTGCTGGTCTAATCTAATCCGCCTCAAGTGCCTTATGTGTCTCCATGTCTCCTTAATCATCCTTATTTATTGTTCTTTTTCCCATAATCATCTCCATCACTGACACTGTGTTTGTGTTTAATGTGACAAACATTTGTTTGTATTTTCATCAATCATCAGTTGAATGAGCTGCTCTTTGAACAGTTACTGACAGCTCTCTGTGATTCACTAATGGTTGTTAGTAACGCTTATGCTGCTGCTCTTTGTTTATAATATAAGAGCATGTTTTTGTCTTACTATGGCCATGTACACACTGCAGGCAAATATGGTTGTCACTGCATTCCTGAGTGCTTTATTTTCTTCAGTGTATGGTTTTTATTACACAAGTGCATTCTACAACTGAATTTACTGAATTAATGACAAATTAAGCTTGAATTAAATGCATATACCAAACTAGCAATGCAGGGCTGCAAACTAACACTTATTTTGAAAATCTATTGATCTGTTGATTATTTCTTCGATTAATCGGATGAAAAATCCAAACATAATATTTTTTAATTAATTGATTTTAATTTATTAGTTACAATTCATTGTCCTCCACTATTTTCTGGATGCGCTTTGTCTAAAGAAATGTGCTGCTCACTACTTTAAAGTGAAATGATTGGTGATATTTTCTATGCACAACACACAGACCTGATAAATCAATTTGCTGGTTTATTTTTGTTTTCGATTTTATGAAGTAGTTGTTGCAGCCCTAATGAATTGTCAAATTTTTTGGACACCAAACGAAATTGCCAACCGTTGACCTCCATGTTTTTGGTTCACAGCTGCAAGATGCCTAAATGTTGTTATTATGTCAACCATTACGAGTTCAGGAGAGACTTCTGTATTCAGTACTCACAGTAAACGATTGTTTAGGAGATTTACTCGCATTTCCACACTAGTGCTTTTACTGAAAACCTAAGTTTCACATCACAGGTTGGTTTTTCTGGTCTGTTTAAAAGCAGTTTTCCTATTTCAGGTATGTACTGCTCAAATAAACTCGGGTTGAGACCAAGAACTTGATCATTAGCTCCAGTAAGTGAGCCCTTGAACAGTTTCAGCCACAGTTATTCATGTGACTCTCTTACCTCTACAGGCATTACGCCGGTGAATGTGATTTATTACTAGTTAGCACATTTATTTCTAACTGAGATGAAATGACAGCAGCATCATTTGTCATTTGGTGGTTAGTCATAGCCTCCAGAAATTACTGGACAGGTTCTGCTTTTGATTAGAACTGCACGTTTCGCTTAAACTGCCTCTTTATTTACAGTTTCAGGACACTGTTGAAGTCATGCGGCATTTAATCTTTCCGCAACTTCCTGCTAATATTGATTTTTTTTTAGCAGAACTGCCAAGGTCCATGTTGTAATAGCTAAATCTTTAACCCAGCACATGGTCAAACTCAGGTTAACAAGAAACATCAAGGAAACATGGACTGTATTTGTGACGTGACTGAACGTGTCTGTCATTATAGTTCACAGTATTTGTGGATGCTAGTAGGGCGTTTGTCAAGCATCCTTCCTTGTAGATGCTAGGACAAAGTGTGCAACTAACGTCCTCATTTATGCATTAGTCAACAAACACATTTGTCTCAAGACTAATTCTGCAAGGCATGCTGAAGTGAGTCCAAAGGGATTTAATGTTAATATTGGTAGTTTGCATAATGCCTAGTCAGGTTGCCTGAGAGAGATCAAAGAATTGACTTTCTCAATTCTGGCTGCATACACTGTTTTTCCTCCTTGGTTGGTTTTTGAGTGCATTTGATTGGGAATCTGATTTGAATAAAGTCTTGTTGTAGCACTCGGGCTGTAATTTAACATGCTGGTCTTTAGCGTCGTCTTAGTAATTGAATATTGAGTTAAAGGGAACTGTAATTTTTGTCGAGGCCAAGGATGTCTGTGGTTCTGAAGAGACGGCATCATTTATCACTCTAATGTATTCATTTTTTGGTCATTTATTGTCTCATTCATTGTCTCATTCCAATCCAGACTCTCATGTTTTGTACAGTGGCGGAGCTAGAGTTTTATACATGGGTGGCCAAGGCTAGTTCAGGGGGTCCATAGACCATGACAGAAAATCAGCGTATAATTCCAATCTGGCATAAAATAGCATGAATAAATCCTGCGATTGCTGATTACTTCACATTATGTACTATTACTTTTTTTTTTGTTTTTTTTTTAAGCAATAAAGACAACCCTTCACACCCTTCAAAAAAATTAGTCGTCTTGGCCAACTTCTCTAACATAATCCGTTGAATTGACATTTAATTCATTGTAGGGGAAAATTTTGATCAATGATTAATCATTGATATTAAATTATCAACTTCATTGTTATTCTCTAAGTAAGTTACTGCAAGAAATATGATCAAATTAATATTTTTCTTTAAGGTTAATGTAAGTTTATCACTAACTACAAACCAAATTTGGTCCCAGTTACGTAGCCACTGAGTGATAGATTCATGTAGCCAAATCTGCAACTCCATTGTGGTGGAATGATCTATTTAATTAGGTCTGAAGCAACCTATCTATAAAACAATAATGGACGATGGAAATAATCTATAACAAATTTCATTATCTTTAAGTGAAGTCTGTACGTTATGCATGGAAATCTGTTTCCAGTCACATCACTTTAAGCCTAAAGTGTACTTCGGTTTTTACCATAGGTGCATACTGAACATGCTCAACTTGATGTTTCCAACCATGCATAATCTGCATGCGCTTGTGCATGTGCCTTGATTTTCTTTCACTACTTAGTCTACATGGTGGCAACACTGGCCTGTGCCTTTGTTTTCACAGTTAAAAAAGAAACAGAAGAGATGAAACGACAAACTACTGGAGACTTCAAACAACAATAGATGTTTATTACAAAATAAAGAGCGAGGCCCTTTTAAACCCCTTCAGTTTCAAGCCCAATTTTGTGCCCTTTTTGTGGAAGTGCTGTAGTAAAATACAGGACAAATAATACATTTTAAAGTTGATATGTAAAGAGTGTCCAATATGACAAAATATTAAGACATTTAGTCATTGCCCATTATGGACATCAAATCAGTGCAGATTGAAGATGTTTGTTGGGAACCGTTTGGTTTGATCTCTTTCGTGCTCTGGCTGACATCTCTCTTTCTTTTTCCAGTTTATTGAGGCCTACCAGGGCATCGGATGCGTGGACTCCATGTGCTGTTTCTCAGAGGGGCAAAATGCCTGCTCACGGCTGGGCCGGCTGGTGGAGCGAATGATGGGCCGCTGCGACCCCGCTCGGGCCACCAGGTGCGACCGCTCTCTCTCTAGCCTCTGCTGTAATCACATCTCCTACAAGCTGGAGCACGACGAGCCTGCGGCCCTGGACGAGTGATGGCCGCCAGTGCACTCAAAGCATTCCCTAATGATCACAATGTAGAATTTAAGACAGAAACGGGTGCATTAATTTGCCTTTAATGTAACAAAGATTAGCTAGAAGTTCAAGCGAGCTTCATCGCCTGGGATGCTCCAGGTACGTACGTATACAAGGAAGCGTAAAAATTGCCATGAAGTTACTTTGAATCAGCCCTTCCAACCCATTGTCTTCGTCTTTCATCGTCTTCACCTTCTTTCAAGGTGCGTCCTTCTTTGCTGGTGTCGCTTATCGTGTCTTTTCTCTGTGTGGCAGATAAATGTTCTCTGCTGAAGATCTTGTGCCTCCATATGAGTCCATAATCGATGAAGCTGTCTCGTCATCCTCGTTCTCAGACATCACACCCAGTTATTAGCAAGGCAAACGTTTGTAGCACCAGTTTATGCAAGTATATGCTCGTCGAATGTTGTACTATATGACTTGATCCATGGAACATCCTGTCATTACGTGTTCTGAGACATTGCATCCCTGTTCAAGTGTTTGAATCTGCGTGTTAGTCTTTGCCTTGCGTGTGTACCTCTCCGTGGAGGGGTTTGTGATGGCATGCGACCGTAATGCACTCCTAAGCCTCAGCTTTTCACGTAATCGTTTTGACTGTCTGTATCCGCACTTTGGGAAGCAGGGCGCTTCCAAAATTTCTCCGCAGTGTTGAGATGAGTACACGGAGACCTGGTCTCGCTAAATATAAGATTCCTGTTCCAGTTTAACGGCTAGAACACTGCCATTGAAGCGCAGGGTACTAGAGAAGACCTCTGCTTTGGCTGGCCAACGGTAGCCACGGTCAACAGCTACCGCCGCTGTTATCGGCTCATTTATCGAAAAGAAAAACTCAACAAGGGACCACATCATGATTGAGTGAGACACTGCTAACTGTAGTCTCCCAAGAGGATTCTTGTTTCCGT